TGCCCTCCGGGCCGCGTGTCCCTGCACGCACAGGGAGGGTCCTGGAAACTGGCACGGGGAGCAGCCCTTGTTGCTCTGAGCTCGGCGTGGGTGTCCTGGCGGGAAGCTGTGCTGCTGCGGGGGTCTCTGGAGCCAGTTCTGTGGGAGCAGCACGTAGGAGCTGAACCTCCAGTGTTTTCCATTTGGATTTGCTGTTGCACGTTTGCAGCCTTTATTCGCGTGTGAATAATTTTAGAAGGCACGTAGGATTTGAAGTGAGCAGAACTTACAGCAAGTAAGCTCTGGTACTATTTGCATAGCAGATTATAGAGGGTTATGTTCCAGACTCTAGTCACAAATCTCTAAGCTGTTTTTTTGCCTTTTAGCACAAAGTAGTAAATTCTGTACTTGTCATATTCTGGTAATTGTCGAGTAACATGCTCAGAGGACCTTTAGATTTTATTACAACATGAATATATGTAGTTCTGTGATTACTTATTATCTGAAAATTAAAAAAAAGCTATGTTGAATATAGCTGTATGCTAGTAGACACTTAATTACAGAATCACTTTTAAGGAAAAAATATGTTAGTAATTCTTTTATACCTGCAGAAGCGCAAACACGTTATTTTAGAGCACAAACTATGCAACAGAACTTTTGCACCCAGGGGCTTTCGTTCCTCTTTTGAAATATTTTTTTTTGCCTTTAGCTGGAGACTTAGGCAGCCTTAGACCAGGATTATTGTATTAATACACTGATTTGGTCATTTTTTGTAGTCAAGCAGAGAGCTGCTGTATTACATTGATGATTGCATGCATGTTACCAGCATGTGTGTGTTGACTATAGAGGTTTTTAATGTTTGCCACATAAAGAGCATGTATTCAGATTACAGCTCTTGCAGCTCTCTGGCCAGTGTAAGTCTTTAAGAGACATTAAGCAAAGCTTAGAATATGCTGGTGATGCTGTCCTTCAGTTTTAAAATTGGCCTGTGAAATAGTTAAAATACTTTAAGAAAATCTGTTTTATAACTAACTGGAGGTTATTACTGGGATTCTTATGGCATTGTCACCATAAAAGTTTAGATGAGTGTGGAGGAGGAGAATGAAGAAGAGCCATTTCTTGTGAGAAAAAAAAGTTGCACACTGTCTCTGCTGGAAGATTTTCACAGTGCTGCAGGGCTGCAGATTTTACAAATGAGCTATATATTATGTTTAGGTAGAGGACTATTGTAGTCCTTGGTTATGTGAAATTTGAGATTTTTCTGTAGAATATTGCTACAGCTAAATGTCATGACTCTTCTTCCAAACTTACTTGGAGGAGTGTCAGCTGAGCCAGGTATTCCATTGGTGGCCTGCAGTACCCACCTCTCTAATAGAGACGTAGAAGGGTGTGAACTGCACATCTCTGCACGACCAGGATTGAATTTGCTTAGTAAAAACCTGTAATCTTCAGCAGCTTGAGTCTGTGGAGTTGAAGGTAGCAGCTCTGTATTTAAATTAAACTCGGGTTGTCTAAGGTTTAACACGTTGTTGAATTTGTATAAGAGGGAGGTACCTGTTCCTACATAGCCTTTGATTCAATACGTAATTTTTCAAAATTTATTGAGTGGTCTTTTTTCCAGAGGGACATAATATATATACCTCATGTAGCTCAATCCCTGGGTAGTTGAGGTACTAAAATAAAGTAATTTCTGTTATTTTAGTATTTTTCAAATAGCCGTGTGTGCTAATCTCACAGTAGCAGGGAACGAACATCAAGCTTTCTAGCCAACTGACCAAACTTTTGAGTTGTAGTCTTCCAAATGTTAGTTTCATATGAATTTTTCATTAATGTTTCTCTTTGTAAGTGGATTATGTTAGAGGTGTTAGTGTCCAGCCAGTTTTCTAACTTCTGCCAGCCAACTCAAAAGGTATCACAGCCATTTATACCAACTGGGCAGGAACGCATTCTCTCACTGCTAGCATGTGGCAGATGGGCAACTGGAGTAGCGGGACTTAGCTTAGTAGTTACAGTGTGTCAAAAAGGAGCTTAGTTTCACCTGCTCCCAGTCATTTTATGCTAGATTTTACTGAAGCTTTACAACTGTCAAGGAAGTGTAGAATGACACTTTCTGCTTTTTTGTGTGTATGTATGTCTTCTGATATGAGACAGTTATTTCCCTGGCGAGATCTGGAGCTCTGTGTCTTTAGGTGAATTTAAACTTTGCTTGTTTTGCTTTCTAGGCAGAGGTGATCTGGAATAATATGTAGAAGTATATTTTTTAACATATTTATAAAATGTTTTGGGGAAATAAGTTGTTCTTCATTTATGTATGGGAGGTGTCTGTTTGGAATAAAAACTTAGTATTTTGAGTTTTCTCATTAATTTGTTAATGATGTTTTGAGAAATTTATGGCCTCTGACTTAAAAAATTTGGCTACAATTTAAGAAAGATGATCTATGGATAAATTAATAATCTTTTAAGAATTACCTGAAACTGTGCTCATTGTTCAGTTTTATGCCTATGATAAACAGATGAGTATAAATGTGCAATTTTTCTCTTCTAAGATGCTGTAGAGTCCCTGTAGGACTTGCTTCCTAAAACCTCATGCTTCTCACAGACATGTAAGCTTGCCTTAAAGCAAGGGAAAGACTGCTGTAGTGCAGTTGGAGGGCAGGAGTGGTGTGCCCTGTGACATAGAAGAACTTTGTACGTTAAGTTGTTGTGTAGATGGGTGCAGAATAGTTACACAGCCCTGAGGATTAGAGTTTGTGAAGATCTACTTAAGTATTAATTTGTAACTTTCTTTTTTTGAAAAGGGTACTGCCCGCAGAAAGAAGAAGGTTGTCCACAGAACAGCTACAGCAGATGACAAGAAACTTCAGTTTTCTTTGAAGAAACTGGGAGTCAACAATATTTCTGGAATTGAAGAGGTAATTGCTTCAAAGGAAGAAATACTTTCCTATATAGAAATATAAAATTATCAAAATCAGTTTCCTGGTGAATAATCCTGAACTGGCCAATTGTCAGTTGGTCTTTATTGAGCTTTAAGAGCTTTGGTTGCCTGTTAAATTGAAAAATCTTGCTGAACTGCTTCAAATACTGCTTTTTTTTTTCTTACAGGTAAACATGTTTACTAACCAAGGAACAGTCATACACTTCAATAATCCTAAAGTTCAGGCATCTCTGGCTGCTAACACTTTCACTATCACTGGCCATGCTGAGACAAAGCAGCTGACAGAAATGCTTCCTAGCATCTTAAATCAGCTTGGAGCTGACAGTCTTACCAGCCTGAGAAGATTGGCAGAAGCTCTACCCAAGCAATGTAAGTTGAAACTTGAATGTATTTCGTGCTGACAGCTGACATGGGTGCTATTTGTATAGCATCAGTGAAATTCAGGGCACTCTTTGTTTTCTGCAGGCATATTATAAAATGCTTATTAAGAAATGGAACTCTTGAATCTTATTTATAGCTCAGATCCAATGACAACTGAATAAAGCAGAGGCACCTGTCAGCTTATCTTGCAGCTGGTCTGTGGCTAGAAGGCTGCAACCAGACTTCATTTTATGGTAGTTTACCATATGGGGCTGGCATATTTTGACATATGTCATGCATTGAAGCTAGGTAGGTAAGTTACTCCAGAAGAGTTAGGTTTAAAAAAAAAAAAAAGATAAACTTTGAGTATGTCTGTTTTGACGCTTTGAATGGAAACATAAATAATGAGGACAGGGACCTGAGGACAGATGTCTTGCAACTGCTTTGCTGCCTCACATGTGTGCTGAAGGCATTTTCCTGCATGGGCTTTTTGATAGCTAGGAGAGAATTACACGGTATTTGTAAGGAAGTGTGTTCTAATTTCTGTGTGTGTGCAACAGTGTAGAGAACAGGACTGGCATGAGCATTAAGCTAAATACACCAACTTCCTATTCCATCCTGAAAATGCTAAAAAGATATGAACAATTATTATTCTTCCTAAAACTGTGTGGGAAAAGTAGAGTAGGGACTTAATTATATGATGTTCAGAAAAGGTGCTCCTGCTACAGGGTGAGAATTGGGAGTGAAAGACCGACTTGTTGATATTGGGAACATTCATCATGTCCTTCATGTACTGCCTTTATGTCTTTCTGAAATACCTTAGCCTCTCCCTTCCAAGATATGAAACATCTTACATACAGAGAGAATAGAAGTGTATCACTGTGTCGAGGTTCTGGTAGTTCTGAACTTGGTTGTTAGTTTTTTTCCCTCCTGTAAGTTGCTGCCAACAAAGCCTGTATTTCCATTCCTAAACTTGATGGTACTTCTTTCCTATCATGTTCCTGATGAAATAAAATACTTCTAGAAATAGTTTTCAGGAGGTGTGGCTCGGGTCCTTTCTCCTTACGTCACCTGTGTGAATTCCTTGTGGTAGTAGTAAGGCTTGAAAGGTAAAAACAAACATAATGATCCCCTGAGATCTCTTCTTGTAACAAGATGGGTATAGTCTGGACAAAGTAAATTGTGCAGTTTTAATATTAGGGAAGCTTATTTACAGTGCTTGCTTTGTGTGATCTAGCAAATGGCTATTCATTTCCATCTCAGGTGGATGCCGTAGTAGTTGCACAAAGCTTCCTATTTCACATTGTCTGCTAGATGTGGAAGCCTGACATTGAAGAGTGAAGTGTCTGTGATGATTGCCTTTGCAGGCGCTAAAGTAAACTTAGTGCAGTCTTGGGGATGAGAGAGAATGCAGGCAATTTGGGAGGAAGTCACCTCGTTTGCTTTTAAAATGTTGTAATTGACATTAAGATGCACTTAAGCTGTAACAGCATTCTGCTATTAAATAAAAAGAGGGTTAGTGGGACCTTGTCCCAAGCCTTTGAGACCAAAGTTGATGCATTCATCTGTTCTGGTTCTCTATAACAGGGTACAGGTCTAGTATGCACTCATTTCTTCCCTCATGCTTTTCTTTAAAACTGAGAAGGATTAATTAGGATAAAACTGAGGTGACAGAGTATGAGACTGCTTACCTTCAGAAGTATCTCTAAGAATAGCAGTAAAAGTAGTGGCACAGGTACTCATGGACCTGTGGTACCTATTATCATTATACTGCTGCAGTTTCTCAGATGCTTGTTGGTCTACTAAAGTGGACATGGCTAAGCCTTACTAACCCTTGCAAATGCAATGGGAATGGTTAAGAAGTTTCTAAGTCAGCAGAGATATGGACCTGAACACATAGTTACTTCAACCACTAAAGTGTGTCTCTTTTCAGGTGTGTCTGTCTGCGGCTTTGCATTTACACCTTCATTTTCATTGAAAGTCTAGGATCATAAGATACTTAATTTTCCTTAAAATAAAACTCAAGAAGCACTGAATAGTCAACAAATCAAGTTTATTTTAAGGGAAATTGGTAAAATTGGTCTCCAGACTTCTAGCTGAAAATTATTGCCCTTCAAGGCACTAAGTATATGTAGATAGGAGGTTGTGACTAGTCAACTGCTGACAGCCTGCACGTTGTGATTTCCCTTCTGGGCTCTTTGAGTATTATCAGTAGCAAAAGGCACTGAAGTGAACCTGCTTGGTTATTTTGAAGATTTTTATTCAGCAGGGGAACTGGATAAGGCATTGCAATTTAGCTCAGACATAATGTTTTCAAAAAACAAAGCAAAACAACTAATCAAGATGCATATGGTGAGCTTGACTGATGCTTTTGAATTACTTGCTCTTGCAGCTGTGGATGGAAAAGCACCACTTGCGACTGGTGAAGATGATGATGATGAAGTTCCAGGTAAGAACAATCATGCATTGGAAGAAAAGGAGTTGAATGTTGCTGAGAGAGAACATGCATAGATAATAATACTGGGCCAAGAGTACGAATATTGACTAGTGACCCTGTCACAGAATTTCTGTGGGCAGGTTATTTCATTTTGTCAGGTGCCACGAGAAACTTAGATGCACTGTTGGTTTGAGCTAGCATTTTTGTAGAAGCGATAATAGCCATGGCTAAGATATTTATTAAATATGCAATAAAAAGGGTGGGAAGAAGTGGCCTTCTCAATATCACTTTGACAAGTTGTAGGGATAGAGAAGTTAAATGCTATTACAACTGTTACATCTTACTTGGTTGATCAAGAGGAATGAATCATGAAGCTCTTAAAAGTTACTTGGTTTGTGTTTTATAAGCTGAAAGTTTTTCATACTGTAAGCACTTGACATGAAGTAGGACTTTGGAAAAAAAGCAAACCAATCACCAAAACCAAAATGTTTGGAAAAGCAGAAGTGTGTCAAACTTTAATGTCAACATTCTTCTTTTTTTAGATCTTGTTGAAAACTTCGATGAAGCTTCAAAGAATGAGGCAAACTGAACTCAGTGTCACTTTCTGAATAAAGTTAAAACTTGAAAAAGCTACATGGAGCTGCTATTTTATATTGTGACTGCTTTGATTTTATTTTTATTTCCTGATAAGATCTCAAGTTACTGCTTGTACACAATATTATTTTTGTGGCCTGATTGAACAAAACTATGCTTTAAAATAAGTCAGATTGCTAACAAATCTCTGCCTAGACACGATTTTTAAGTAACTTGTCTACAAGCAAAACCTCATCTTTAATTAACTTTGGCATACAATAAAAATATAAAATAAACTTTCTGGTGTGGCTTCTTGTCAGAAAAGCAGGGGAAAAAAATTGCCATAAATATTAAGTCTTGCTTTTCTGCAGAAAATGTTGTTTTTATTGTGTTAGAAACCTGGCTTCTAAAAATTTTCTGTGCATAATGAAGCATTTTAGACTTAATTAGCAAATTCCCAACTAGAGCTACCTATGCTTTAAGTCACTTTGTAATCTGAATTTAAAAATAGTTCTGTATTCTAGAAATAATGGTGGTTAAATGTAACATAAAATTTGCAGGCTCAGACATCTTCACTTTGCCGTGAAGAATAGTGGCAAGCTATTTACATCTTCAGGGAACTAGGTACTGATGCTAAAATTTTATCTTTAGGAAATGTTTAATAGATACTTTCAGGGTGTAACTATTTAATAGGTCAAATAATACTTTCCAGTATTGTACTTATCTTGTTTTTTAATTAAGTCTGTATTTAGCATCTTCAGTTAGTAATTATATTTGGATGTATGTTTTTTCTATTGCTTTTGCATGTTCCAGAGGAAAAGAACTTGTTTTTTGGGCACAAGAAATACTTTTAAAATTCCAGTCTGACCAAATTCGTGTAGTTGGAGCTTCCAGGGGTGAGGGCTAAATTTCATCTTTGGGAGACTTTTTCTAAATTATTGCTTCTGTAATAAGAAGCTAGTTGGGATAGAAGAGCATATAATTACCAGCCTTCTAGGGTTGTTTCTGGGACAGGTATCTTTTGGAAGTTGAATAATCTTTACTTGTGCAGGGTAAAATTCAGAGTAAAACTTTGCTGTAGCCATAAGTTCTGCTTGTGCCTGGGAAAAGGTGGGGCTGTGTCTGACTTGCCAAACGTGTTTGTCATGGTGTTAAGTCATTGCTGTTGGGAAACAGTGGAGGAGCTTGTTCCAGCTGGGCAGCTCTGGTTTGAGGTAAGATAGTAGTCTGACTGTGAGCATGACATGGCTCAAGTCAGGTGCCAGGACTCAATTTTGGTTTACTTGTCTTAGTTTGCAAGTGCTTTGTCAGTAAGTTACACTTTCAGCATTGAATTAATTAAAAATAAAAAGTGCATTCATTGAATTGTGGCAATAAGGTAGAAAATATAAACATGTCATTTTGAAATTAAGGTGGTGACCTTAAGCCAATTGCCCTCTAAAAGGAGAAAACCCAATTCTATGGAGTTGTTTACCACAATTCTGGGACCTGTCAAGGCAATAAATGTGTGCTGATTTTTTTTGACAAATCAATATATGTGTTGCCTATTGTGTAATTCAAATATGTCAGTCCTCTTATAAGCTACCATAGGCCTTGCTTATGAAGTTTCATGCTGTTTTCTGTCTCAGGAAGTCTTCCTTCGATGGAGGCAATGATAGCTTTTTCCCCACTAGCAGACATACTTAGCTAAGTATGCTTAAAAATGAGATCCTTGTTAAAGCAGTATCTTTGAAAAACAAAATAATGCTAATCTGGTGATAAGCAGCCTTCTGACATGTCTATGAAGTCTGTGTCCTAGGTATGGTCTCAGTCAGGAAAAGCTAGTGTACCTCTGCATCCCCAAAGTGACTGTGGATCAAGATATAATAAAAATGTGGTTTTGGTTATAGCAGATTCTAAGAGAGTAGTTCTCTTGTTATAGCAGTCTTCATGTCTAACATTTAAATGCTCAGTCCTATACTCAACACTGCAATTATTTTCTCTTAGTAAGGAGTTGGGTACAGTCCTTCTAGTCTGTCATTAACTGCTAGAAGCTGAAAATAGTTCTATTGATGTTTCTCATTAGCTTGAGCTTCTCTGTAACTATACTGTAATTATGCCATTACAGATTCACATATGTAGTCTTGCTCAGGGAAAATGATTTTGTATCTCCATTCCAAATATCTGGACAATGGAGAAACAAAAACAGATGCCTGCATTTCTGTTGAGCAAAGGTTTGTTTGAGCTTTTTATTTTTAGAAAGCAAAGGCAATGTTCTGGTTCTGTCACATCAAGATTTGTAACAGCTTGACTCCAATGCAGTAGTGGGAACCAGGGAGATTTTTTCATCATTTTTGCAACGGAATTTTAGAAGTATCTTCATAGTTGTTAATCTCGTGCTTTAAGGGTTTTGCTCTGGGGTAGAATCAGTATATTCTAATCAAAAGCTAATTAAAATCCTTTTGGAAGATGCTGAAACTATGTATTTTATTAAGCTAGTGTATGTGCATATATAAAAATAATAAGTTCCATACTATGGTTTTAAAATAACATCGTTTTCAAAACTCTAGAAGGTGTCTTGAGTCATTACAGACTGGATTTATTATTTTTTTTTTTTAATTTAAATATAAGTTCGTGGTTGTGCCTCTTGGGAAATTATCCCGGTGAGAGTTTCTCATGATTGGTAGTGCATATTTAACATATGTGACCAAGGGAAATTATTTGAATTGGTTGAAAATGTTCAAGCTCAGTACCTCAAATATCAAATTCTTGTGTATTATTACTGTGCTGATTTGCTAGGGGTGTAGGAGAAGTTCATGTAGTTCCTACTTGTATGAAATTTCATGCTAATAGTGTGTTTTATATGCGAAAAATCATACAGACGTTTTACCTTCCCTAAGGTGGTTTCCTATATGGCTGCAGAAAATGTAAATGTCACATTATGGTACGTATAAGATAACAAAGGATATTTGAAATTAAGATGAGAGTTTGTATTTGTTGTCAGAAGCAGTGGAAGAGTTAAAAAAGATGTGATCACAAGAGTGGTGGGGAAGAAAGCTTGTGTGTATGAATGTTACAGGTGGTAGTTGGTGGGTGGGGGAGGCTAGTATTTTTTAAGAGAGCTAGGGGGAGTGATTGCGAAGCCAGGCTGTGGAAGCTGATTGACCATCCTGTGAGGGTGGATTTGAACAAGTTATGAAACTGGAGTTAGCATTCACTCAGATAGGAGAGCCTACAGGGAAGTGTTTTGATGTTGACTAGATTACAACCTAAAGTGACTGGCAAGATGGTGGTATGTATAAAGAAGTGAGGTTTTAAAGCTAGGTATTTTAAAATGTTAACAAGTACTCAACATGTCTTGGGCTTACACAAATAGATGCAATGTGGCTCCTGATTTTTCTAAGCTATTCTTTGTTCCTTTTCAGATCTCTAGTTTGAGCTGCATCCAGCAATTTGTGTGAACTGCTGAAAATATTTCCTATTGGATGTGGTAGTAGAAGGATCCTGACCTATAACAGAGATTGGGCTCTGAAGGGAAGGCTTTTTTACAGAAAAGGAGCTGACAGTGCAGCTGAGCCAAGCTGACCTAGTTAAGGTGAATGTCATAATTAGTTTGACTGAGAAAACTCGGTAACTTTAAAAAATGAATAAAAAGTGGATGCATCTAGAAGATCTGAGAACCAGAAGTATAACTATTTCTGTGTATTCTAATTAACTTTTAAGGTGCAGTTTGTTGGTAGCATAAGCTACTTGGAATTTCATAGTGCAAATCTTTCATTGTTGTGTTAATATTCTATCTTCATGCATGGATTTTCATCAGAGTAAAGATATTGAATGCAAGGAAGACATATTATGTAATACTGAACTGTCTTGTGACTGGTTTATTTGTGAGAAACAGATTGAACACATGCAAGTGGTGTATTGCCTGTACATTGCAGTGGAGGTATCCTGTCAATGAAAAGCCGTTCTAACAATGTGTGTGTAGTGCAGGGATTAATAATACTTTTACAGATGAGCTAGAGCCTAACTGTTTGCTTTACCAATGAATCTGAACAAATAATAGGTTAATTAGTGTTATAACAGTGTAAGTAATAATAATTATTTTCATATTGTATATCTCATATATTGTGTAGGTGGAAGGCAGAATTCTTGGACATCTTGCTTCTATTCAGATCCTGGGCTGGTTGAAGGTCAGTTTGATTGTGCAACACAGTGCTTTTGCATTTGATAACCAATGAGCAACACTGGCAACACTTCTCTTTCATAGTCAGGGATTTGATGTGCTGTGCAGGATATTGACAGATAATGGTGGAAGTATCTGCTGCTCTTGAATCCATAGTCTGCATTTTTGTTAAGTATGAGTAGTAGTTTATGGGTTTTGGGGGGGTTTCTTTGGGCTACTGGAAGAATGTAGATGTGGGTTCTGCCCTCCTCTCCCAGTTTTTAGAAGACATCTGAAGTTGCTTTGAAGACATCTTTGGTTGAAGGCTTCTACAGTTCATGGAGATTGAACTGAGTTAGTAATGTCTAGTGGGCCTGTGGTGTAACCTGAAACATGTCAGCTGTGTACAGTTGAGCAGTCTCCTGCTTCACAATCAGCATACAACTTGTGGAAAATGTTTGCAACTGCTTATTACTGATGGGTTTAAAATGTTGCAGTAAGATTAGGCAAGAAGTGAAGGTGTTGAAAGTATCTATTGAAACAGAGGAGTACTGGGTTTAAGCGACAGGTCCAGGAGCTGTGGCTAGTCCTGCTGTACTTCCTTGTATTTCCAGTAACCCCATCAGGGAGTTGCAGAGGTGACAGAGTATGGCTTGAGTTCCTAATAAATGGGCATCAGTCAGACTGCTACCTTTAAGGACCTGACTGGGATCCAGGAGGGCTTCTTGCACCTTGTGACTGTGCAGGACAAATACAATGTAAGGATGCTTGTGTGGGGCAAAATCTATCGTAGGTCTGTGATGTTGGTGTTTGACATTGCCATCTGTGGCATGACACACCTGTTGAGTGTAACTGGCAGTCACAGTAGGATGGTATTGGTAATGTATGTGGTGATTAAGATGCAGGAGTAGCATGAGCTGAAAGTGGTAAACGCCACATTAGAG